GGGGCTAGAAACAAACAACTAGCGATAAGTCTAAATAAAAATTGACGCAAATGAATGGTGTTCCTCTACTATTTCCTATTATCCTAACTTAACTAATTTTTTAATAATAACTGTATTTACACGTTCAAGATTCGCCAGTTTCATGCGTTTCATGCCGTTGCTGCGTGCACGCACGAAACTGGTAACGTAAACTGGGAGCTTAATTCGCTGACGATGCTGGCTTCCCCGTGACGGAGGTGTGCGCACTTCACGGTCGGTGCATCTCGCCGCGCGTCTCGTCTGCCGACGAACGAGGGCAGGTCCGCGCGGCCAGCCAGGTCGCCGATACCTGTTACTTGCGTCATCGATTTCTGTGCCGCGGATCTTCCTGGCAACTTTCGGCGTCTAGCTCGTGCAGACGCGTCGGACGCGCGCACGTTTAATGACGCGTGGTCGAGGGATACGAGGGGGAGGGGAAGGGGGGAGGAGGCTACGGCACGAGAGATCGAAATGCCGCGGTGCAACGGAGCATGCCGAATGATCTTCCACTTCGGTGTATCGGAATGCCTTGCCTCAACAGACGAGACAATCCGGCTTTCTCCTGTTTCCACGGTCAAATTACTACTCCGATCGATTATTATCGATCGTATCCTGGTTTCGGTAAACAATCCGATCCCCGGCGCCGATATATTAAATTTCATGCCGATTATCGCGCGACTTCAACTTTCTCCCGCGAGATTGGGTCGGATTTGTCACGGCAAACAAACCGATGGGACAAGTGTCAATCATGTTACTTTTAATATCATTTCCGTATAAACGTGTTAATTAAATTTAACTCAATTTTTGATGATACATTTATGTCACTTTAAACTTTGGAATAGATAAATTAAAATTGAATTAAGATTGAATAAATTTAAATGAATCTTTTATTCAATAAACCAAATTGTATTATAATTATAGAAATCATTACAGAAATTTATTTAAATGAATTCTACATGTAGATGCAATTAGAAGTTTTGCAATTGAACGATAGATTTTGGAAAAAATAATTTAAAAGAATATCTAAAATACATATTGATACATGCTGGATGTACGAAACGAAAGAAAAACATAGTGATTTATTTCGAGAGATTCAATATTGAATTTAAATTTTAATTATAAAAAAATATATAGTTTTTTTTTAAAAACTAGAATCCTTTTATATTTACTTATTTTTAAGAGATATTTATTTTTAAGAGCTCTTCTTCCTCCTTTCGTATCTCCTTTCTTTTAATTTAATTATGTGCTACTTTTATTGAGCATGTTTAATATAATTCATATTTTATTAAAGAGAAAGAAATTCAATTAAAAAGCTCCCCAGCTCGAGAATGTAACGCATCATAAAAACTGAGTAACTCGACGATTTCCCGAGTTGGCACACGAGGGAAATTATCTCATATTCGTTCCACCAGCCGCACCATCGATCAAACAACCCCTTAAGGGCCGAGTCACTTACCGTGCGACGCATTAACCTTGGGTACAACCGAGAAGGCACATTAAACGCGTCTCATAACGTCGTTTTAATTCCGGCAAACGACGGATCCGCTCTTCCGGTCTGCTTCCGTGCGAGAGAGGAAACGCGACCTTGCCCTTGTCGTGGTGGTGGACGGTGGTCTCTTCCGCGTGGATTTCTTCTTGTAGCGATCACTGATGCTCTCCACACTTCTTCACTGAACTTGCTGTCGTCTTGTCAGCCGATTCTACGATTCTAAATCGTTCGCTACGTCCGCGATTGAATTTTGAACCGGTGCACCGACCTCGCGAGTCTCGATCTTTTTTATCCACGCGCGTTATTACACTTGTTAATATCGTCAGCCTACAGGCGGCATCGGCGATACTAAGACTCGTCCTCCCGGGATTCGCTGCCGAAACTGATCGTGCTTAAAAATCTCTGTGATTCTTACGGATCGCTCGAACCGATCTGTATCGCGCGATCGTCCATCCGGCTAGTAAACGGGATGGTATCTGTCTGGCCGTCGTACTTTGTGCCACGGCATGTGCTGCTGGAGTCGCATGGCTAAGTCATAAGCGGCGCCTTCGACGAAGATCAGTGGTGGTGGCCGGTTCGATGGTGGAAGTCGTTTATGGTGGTGGCAAGGCAACGTTCCACGGAAGCTCACACAAGAAGAAGTGGGGACCGTTCTACAGAGGACAGAAGCCGTCAAATACGAACAGGGAATTGAGGGAGGGGGGGGAGGGGGGGGAGAACCCCATCGGGAGAAAACAGAGAAAGAGAGGGAACCAGAGGAAATCAAAGTGGGTCAGTGGCCAGGTCACGTGGAGAAGAACGGGGCCCAACGTGCAGGACGGCGACACACTGTCCTACTCATCCACCGGCCGCTCTTGGTCGCTCCAGGTTCTGTCTGCCCATTCAGGAAACGCATCGCGATGTTGTCATAAAAATGAGATGCGTCGATCCTACTCGACGTTTCCTCATCGCTACGCTTCCCCGATGAAGAGAAGAAAATCTTCAACGGACAAACTGGATAAGAATCGCTCAGTGAGCGCAATGACAGTATGTATATAGTCAGCTGATGATATCGCAACAAGGCTATCAGCTGTTCTATTCGACGTTGCGTCAACTATCGATTGTCGGAAAATGTTTGTTCTTAATCAAGAGAGCAACAAATTGACATCACTACTGTTTTTGAGTTAAAGATATCGATAAATGTTATTAAAGGAATGTGCACAATATCATTAGCACTATTAATTTGATGCTATGTGTAAAAATTTATTCTGCAAGTGAGTATTTATTTGTGGAAACAGTTGCATAAATTTCATGACTATGGAGTTTTATTTTATAGAAAATACATTTCCAATGATGAAATAGTAGAATTTTAATTGTAACGGTTGTCTCTGACTAATTATTTTTGTCAAATGATGATTAAAATATTTATTATAAAATGTTTCAGTTACTTCTTATTTTATTTCATTTTTCAACGATGGACAATAGCTTTTGTAAGTAATTGTACATTTGATATTTCTATAATAATAATAATAATAATGTCAGCCAAGATGACTTTATGTATTTTAATTATAAAAGAGTGCATATTACCTTTGAAAATAATCTGCAAGAGATAAATAAGTTTTCCTTTATTTCATTAAAAAAAGTTCTATGGTACTTCGTCTTTGTCATAATCCGCGCAGAAATGAATAAGTTCTTCTTATTAAAGAGATATAGAAGTAAGGTGTAATGTAAGCGCCATTTTTCTGCTACTCTACAATGTTACTAGCGTTTTCGAGAAAGTAGTTAATATACTAACATTCCTTACATCATAATAATTCTTTATTAAAAAGATATATTATTTTATTATTTTATTATACATATTATTTCATTACATATAAAATGTTAAATATCTTTAATGCATATTTTATTTTTAATTAATTTCACAAGAGTAAAAACCGGAATATTTTCTAAGTTTTATTGATATTATTCTAATCGTGTAAAAAGAAAAAGCTCCTATTTCTTAGGAGCTTAATTTAAGTTTTTAACAAAAAGATGATTCGTTGGTATGATTATTAGAAATTTATTTTTAATGTAAGCAGCAACTATTTTTCAAATTTCCGCAAGAACATTTAATGTCTCCGCATTTCTCATCAGCAGTTAATAATAAACGTCCAATTTCCTATGTCTACGTGTCTTTGGTTTCTTTCATCGAGTAAGTGTTCCTGCTATAAGAGGATAATTACAATAGAGTGCTCTAACGAGTTGTATTAGGAGATAAATACAACTCGCGTCTGTCGTCTGCTTGATATAAAAGTCTGTCCCATTAATGATATTATCTCATTACCGTTAATGACATATACTCATTAATAGAATGCGGATTATTGGATAAGAATCGCAGATGTACATCCAAATGCACGCGCTTTCGTACTATGCTACTATAATAAAATTATTATTAATTAACACACTAATTATTTCACGTATATCGAGAAATCATATTTCTTATTTTTAATCAAGCAACATTTACCCGTTCATGGGAAAAATGACAGAAAATATGAGACTTCAACCAATCGGAAGAGCAATCTTAAGTAGCTTTTTATCACACGTCGCAATAATGGAAAAAGCACGAAACTCACGTATATACGTATATACTTCTTTATTACCGTATAAAGGTATTTATTATTATTAATAATAGTACCACGAGTACTGCAAAAAATTGTATGAGCCGTGAAAATTGTAATATTCCTAATTTTGATTACTTTTAAGCATTCAACGTAGACGTCACCGCGCAAATCTGGTGTCATAATGCGTTGAAATTATAATATCAGTAAATTTGCATTATGAAGCAATGTGTTCATTAAACATTTACCAATTGTTTAATAAATTCAAAAGAGCGAGAAGTGAGAACAAATATTGAATAAATTTTTGGTCACTTTTTATCATAGCATATGATTTAAATGACACATATTATCGTACTGTAAATGTTTATATACATTTTGTTTTCGAGAAGTTATACATTTGCAATATCAAATATAAAATATTGGTTTTCAATCTATTGATAATTTCGAAATTATTAAATTTATCTATGTGTACAACGTTGCGGCAAACGGGTTAATTATTAATATTATAATATATTGTTTAATTATTAATATTATAATATATTGTAATTAATTAATGAAATAATTAATTATCTAGTATATTAGAAATCATTTTTTTTAAATTTTTATTATCAACTCTACAACATATGTACACGCGTATTATTGTCCCTCTCTGTTTATTAGAATATTCCACTCACAAAGGAAACAGGTTACTAGTAATCCTATTTGTGTAATCGGAGCGAGACGAAACGTTCGACAAGGTACGCCACGACTTTCGCGGATAGCAATTCGCTACCAGGAATTTTAATTAGCATGTTGCAGCTGAATTTCACTTCATTTTAGAGTCAAATCATCGTGACTATGTCAATTTTATGAAGTTAATTGCCTGTGTATATTGAATTTTGTATTCAGTGTATTATTATTTATTTTCAATTTAGATTCATTTCCATAAACGTGACTATGCTATTTACAAATGTACAATATATAATAATAATAATAATAATAATATTTATAAAATACATAATAATAAGAATAATAAATGTCTAAAAATTTGAAAAAAGCGAAGATATCTTAAGAAAAAAATTTTTTATAAGTACAACTGATAACTGTTAACAATATAAAACTTTTAAAGTGTATATTTGTGTGTTGCTCACTAAAGAATATATAAATTGATATTTTAATGTCTGAATAACGTAGTGATGTTCGGAAAATACACATTACCGTAACGTCAACTACATTCATAAATGTTCATTCACGCTCTCATCGAGTACATTATCTTCAGCATAATTGAACGCCGTTATCAATATTACAGTCCTGATATCGATGATAGTCATAGGCTGCTAATAGAATTTGATTAGCGCTCATTGTAAGAAAGGAATTCATAGAAATCAACAATTCCAAAGCAACGACAGTGCGCCATCGTCGCGGACGTTCATCAATAATTGACGATTGTATCCTATAATTCGTACGCGATGGTGAAACCACGAAACCACTTGCTTCCCGTATAATCATGGTGAAATTATGACGGGTCTCGAAGAATCCATGTATGGCTCTCTCAAACGCAGCCTTGCAACGCAGGAATGCGTAATTGATAACGGTCTCGGTTCTCATAGCTCTTTCACTTCAGGTACTGTTTTGTATTAATGCTCGACCACGCATTCGAATAATATCGCGAAATTCAACTTCCTCGCATTATTATTGGGTCTGTTTGAAGCTTATTTGAGGTTAATATCGTCTTAAACTTTATAATTTTTTGAATTATAGAAAATTAGAATTTGAAGAATATCGTGGGACATAAAGTTTAGAAAAATGAGGTACATATAATATAGAGATTATATAAATTATCTGCTAATAATTTTAAAATAACTTTGAAATTCAATCTTACGCAATCGATCTTGTATTTTTATGTTGTTTATTCACTTGAGTTTTATTAATAATGCACAATAAAATAACAAAAAAAATTTATATAAAAATAGTATGAACCTGACCAGAGTTATCGATAAGATATACCATGAAGAAAAGGTCCCACAATTTATTTATATTCACACATAGATGTGATGTTCTTGTGTCGTGCTCCAAAAACTGCATTGACTGAAACAAACGTGTTATGTTTTGAACTTCTTTGAATTTCTTTTTTTATACTTCTTATTCTCTCTGTACATTTTTAAATGTCAATATATTCACTACTAAATAAAATCTCCACTATAAATATCTATCAATTTAAACGGTATTTGTACATCTGAGGTGGATCTGAAATTAAAATAATAGTGCTTGATTTTCATATTAATACAAAAACATAATTTGTGCGACAGCGAATAATGAAACAAGGATACGGTCACTATTTTCAATTATGACAATTTTAGGAAGAAGAATTTATAATCTCCCAGTTGTGTTAGATTCATTACGGTACTTTAGTCTCACTCAGTAACTTTCGACTGCAAGAGAATTCCAGAGAGATGACATCTCATTTAGTTCCTTTTTAGCCTATGGGGAATAATTACGAAGACCGAGTCACCGTGCAAAGTCCTATTGAATAATCATTATCGTTGAGATCAGGTTCCGCTTTAAGAATACGCCTTCTTGAGCACGAGAGCACGAGAGGTTCGGTCCTTGGTCATGGAACGTGACTGGTTTGAAGTAGGTCAGGACCTGTATCTTTTGGTGCACGGTACCGTCCACCGCTGAATGGAATCTCATTTATTCGCAGGTACAGGTGCGCCATATGAGCGCCTCGTGTGTTTTAACCGTGTGTTTTATCTAACATAAGACACACGATAAATTGCCGGGCATAATGTCTCTCATTTCCTCGTCATCACTAGTATTAACGTAATAAACATACATTAATTAGCTTAACTACATCGAGTCGAGTTTGAGCCAGTCGCGTGTGATGCTTAACGTTATTATGAATTAAAGATACTAAGTTACTGATGTAATTTGTTACAGTCGATCCGTCGCCAAGTGAAACTACGAATTATCGGATGATTCTCTCCAGCTGATGTGAACGATTCTTTTCTCTCCGTAACATGACGCATGCTGCAAGATCGAGCACACAAGCATTGACCGTGATCGTGACTTTCGGTAAGTGGGTTAAGGCCCGTGGCTCTGTATAAATGTATTTTATAGAACCGAAAAGAAATGTAGAAAGTAACACGACGTTACGTTTATTATCGCTGAAACTCGATGCCTTGATCGTACCGCATGGGACGACATATATGGACAATAGCCAACAGAGATCGACGCATTATATTACTTTGCCTCTATCGCAATTTACATGATAACGACGTTACCCATGCCGATTCGAATCACTAATAGATTCGAAGTAGTAACACTATTGCGTTACAAATTATTACGCTTCAGTCAGCATGTATCTGTACTTATTATATCGGCCGGTTAATAATATCAAGTTACACCGAACGCTTTAATGAAAGTACATTCGAGTACTTTATTTATTATCTTATCTGCCTCTCGTAAATGCTTACGATATCATGAGTTTTTCAATATAAATAAGATTATTGCCCGCCTAGTCAACAAAACGACTTATAAGATATTTGCTATTTTTCAATACATAAATAACACGCTAGCCGATAAGGACTAAATGATTTTAACAAGACACCCTTGCTTTCCTTCGTGACTCGAATGTTCAGATTAATTCACGATTTACACGCAGACTCGAATCTATATCTGAGGAAAGAGACGCTGAGAAAAAAAATTTGGAAAGTGGCTATCAGCTAAATATTCGGAAAGACTACGTATACCGGCGACATAAATCCCAATTAAATCGCCTCATACGCGCCGATTAGAGGCACCTGTAACCCGATCCGGCCAGATCCAAGATACGATGTAAACTACGAGTACGACGGGAGATGGTATTCCCTTGACGGTAGAGTTACACGCCGCGCGCACGACACCTCGCAACGCCATAAATTCCCGGCGATCGTTACAGCGCCTAATCCCAGGGAAGGATCCGAAACATTTGGGTCGCGACGCCATGACCAGAGGGGAAGGGGGGGGGAAACAATCGATGGTCATGACCCAGGACACGGCTGGAAAACTGGGTCAGGATTGCTCGTGCCCTTTCACATCACGTGTGCACGTTCATTTTTCGTCGCGCAGATACTCGCGGCGGCATCTTATGAGGACGAGCAAAAAATTTCGTCCTCATCGTGCATATCAATTTCTTCCTCGTACATAACTCACTCTAACTTCACACAATTTACACGTCTCCTCCGTCTTTTTTCTCGTAAAAGAAACGAAAAGAATGAGTCTCCTTGCGCTTATTGTATTCTCGCTTTTCGCTCAGCCCAGTCGAGCGTCAAGTGAGCGTCAATCGTTTTTTTACTAGCTACTTTTATCAAAATTTATCTTCCAAACGAAACATCGCTTTACAGAAGCGAGCTTTCTGAAGCTCATAAATCATTATCATTATTAGACATCGCGCTTCTTTCGGGAAATCGGTAAAGACGCACGATTAAAAACGAACTCGTCGAGCGTCATCCCGGACACGTACCAGGTTGTCCCTGCGACGTCATCGAGAATTACCAAGGTCAGACCGTGACCCTGCGCCGCGGCTACGCCAGGTCACGCTGATCCTGAAGAAAATCCGTTGATCGATCACACGGTACAGCGGCGCAGCGACGTCGTAGCGCCGACGCACTTCGCGCACCCAGGGCGCTCGCTATCTCGCTGGTTCTATCGGCAGCAGCAACCACCAGGAACAACCGGCCGTTTCTCGCAACCTTCGCTATTTTTACACGGCGGATTGGTCACCCGTGATCACGCTAGTCGCCACACGCAATTTAAATCACCGTTAAACCGAATCGAAAGTTTATTCTCTCTTCTTTTTTTTTTTTTTTTTTTTCTTTCAAACTATAAAAAGCGAACTAATGAGATTTTAATGTGCCCAACAAAAGGTACGATTTCCGTAGTACATTTTCGCACTTAATATCACAGTTCTTAATATTCCCGTTCTGAATTTATTTAGAATTTGAATTGAAAATAATTTTTCTTTATTTATGATTATGTGTGTTTGTTTATAATGTGTGTGTGTGTGTGTGTGTGTGTGTGTGTGTTAAGTTTTTTATTTTACTTTTTTTAATTTAGCCATTTTAAATATGTTGTTGATAATTTTCTGAACAATTAGTTTTCTTCATGTGATAAGCCGTATATAAGTAAACGAACGTAAAGATCGAAGATGTAGAATGATTATATATTTCCTGTTGAATCTTTTTTTCAAAATATGCAGGTCATTCTGATCTTTTGAGTTAGAATTGAACCGCGACGCCTTTTTCAGTCATGCGTTCACGAGAAATTGAGAGCGGTAATAATAAGACCAATAATAAGATACATACTTGTGATTACTTAGTGTCGAGGAAATACATATACTTTCAAGAATAAATAACATGATTGCGCGATCAGCGGAGTTCCTTTTAATTTGCAAGTCCTTGAAAAAACTCGTGACAGCGCACTTTACTGTCACACTTCGCAGTTTCGAGCTGTTTTATTCCACGCAGGTGATTTTCATTTTTCAGCAACAATTAATTTACATCTTTTCCTTCTGAGTTTCTCTCCGCATTGCAATGTCAGTATTACTACCGCGAGTTTATAATTAACATTGATCCGCCGTCAACAGTAAATTACAGATTTTTTAATTGTAATTTACGTTTTAAAAACACGAAACTTGATCACAAATTATATCACTGTTATATATGCAATATTTTTACATTAGGTATTATTCCATTATTTTTATGCAAACAATTAAAATGATAAAAGACTAAAAATAATTATAATAATTCCCCAAAAAAGCATTAATATTTTTTCCATTAATTTTATTAATTACATTCTTATCTTGGAATAAGGAAGATTAAGAATTAAAGATTATATGCTGTTCCTTCAAAATATCAGAGTTGGCTGTCCGACTACTGCGATTAAATGCCGTCGTATATCCCGATCATCGAGATGCTTTCGCGTCGCTGTTAATCGGCGAATCGGCAAGCTCGAATACAACTTTCACGTACGTCTCACGATAAATCCACGCGGAGACGCGTGCGAGAGAGGTGAGATCCCCGCGAATAGTAAGATCGCGCGTCTCGGAGACTTATCCGCTGTCCCGATTAGGGGAATAAAATCTCTCGACTTACGACCGCGCGGCGTTATTATTCCTCGTTGATTTGCATCGGCGACGCGACACGACGCAATCGTCGGGTGAAGGTCGACGTGATGGTTTGCTGACGAGTACACGCGGCGAGGTACACCGCGGCGGTTTCGTGACTGCATAAGGAAAAGGCGGAGGTAGCTGGCTTTCTCCAAAGCCACTTAACCCGATCCAGTAACATCCATCCACCGGGCCCGTCACGCCTGTGATATTTTCAGTAGTTTAACATTGGTCGTAATAATCAGGAAAAATCGTGCGTTTGTCCCTGCGCGATCGGATAATTACGTTCCGATCGTCGAGTGCCAAGAGAGATTTTGCACTACGCAAAATAGTACCGCGGCTTCTACCTCGTCAGTTTTGCTAACAAGATTCGCTTGAACTCACCTATGATCGCAGGTAGTGTGCTAATATTGATATTACATAGCGCCTCTAATTTTTTTTTATTTCTTTAAATTTTTGAACAAGTTTCATGATGGATTTGTGAAAATATCGAGAACTATAATTTGGAACTTATAATTTGGAATATATTAGCGAGAGCTTTTCATTTCTTTTCATATTTATGACAACAATTTTTTCTTGGCACAATAGCGTTTTAAATACGTAATTATAACCTTGACTATCTTTTATTACAGGTTTGAAAAATATTATGCTAACGTATCTTGAATATAAGGTAAAAAGTGTCTGAGTAAAATTAAAGATAACTAAATTAGATGGGAATAATGAGCATAAGGGATTTTTCAATAACGTTGTAATTTAATAATACTCAGAGATAATTCTTATTTTTTAAAGCAAGTTTATTAATGTCGAGTTTAATTATACGGACATTGACCTAATTTCTGATGTTTATTCTTTAATTTTTCAATGCCGATATTGCGAATGCTTATCTAGATTTGAAATAAATTTATTCGCTAATTTAACTTGTTGATTACGTGCATCAGGCGATATCAATCGTGTTAATTAATTTAGTGATTATAATTTGCTTATTTTTCGCACTGTAGACTCGATAATTATGCGTGCACGTAAAAGCCGGAAATGATAGGTAGATGAAGGCAACATTCCGGAAGTTTCAATCTGAAAAAGACATGAAAGAAAGTAGAGAGAAAAGTAATAAGTGTAGATCGATAGGCTCATCATTGTGAATAAAAAAATTGGATCGAAGAAATCTTATAGTAATGTTTAGAAAATTATATTTTCTTTAGGCGAATATAATGGATTTCAAAAAGGCAAGTAGAATCAATTGGCGTCTATCCACTAGACTTGAATTGTATCGTTCGATTCTATTACGGCATTGTGCCGAGAAAAAGTTGTTCACATAAATCGCGTTCGAACGCAAACATTATTTTAACAAGCTTATTTTGCTGAGCATCCGAGTCACAGCGTGCTAATGAAATCATGAGAAAGGAGAAGAGAGAGAGAGAGAGAGAGAGAGAGAGAGAGAGAGAGAGAGAGAGAGAGAGAGAGAGAGTAGTAGTACGTACGTTACGTACGTACGTACGTACGTACGTACGTACGTACGACGTACTAACTACGTACTACTAACTTATTAACTTAACTTAACTTAAATATAATTTAAAACCCGCGATTCTCTCTCTTTCTTTTCTAGGCCGATTTGTACTTTAGTTGAGAGAATACATAAAGCGCGATCATTTATCTTTGTATACATTTCATTTGCGGACAGTAAAATGAAAGTTGCGTTCCCTTTACAAATATAAAATGTTTTTTGATTCTATTTTACTCCAATTAGAAGTTCTGAAAAGCTATTACAATTATTATTTGATTCTTAAAAAACCGCTATAAATAAATTAATTAAAATAGAATTAAAAAGACAAACCAAAAAGATTCTGAGAAATATTTTTATCGAGAATTTTTCTGTGAATTTATAAATTATGAGAAATATTAATTAATATACCTGAAAGATATTATGGGCATTTATTTGTGAATTTTGTGTAGAAAAGCGGAAAATTAGTCATAACTTCATCTCAAATATTACTGGTGGTAAATATAATCAGAGAAACGGATATAATTTTTTTGCCTTCAGTCTAAAAATTACAATGGAAACTGTGTGATCTCTTCCTCTTTTTTATTTGCATTGAGTAAAACAACAAGCTTTTCAATCCCGATTCTCATTAATGTTACTCTCTTCGTTGTTTCATCGTGATATCTACAACATATACTAAAAATATTATGCATTTTATGTTTTTATAAACCTTGCGTAGTAATTCTTCTTTGCTGCAAACGCGCAAATTAAAATTTTGTTAACATGATGTTTACTTTGAAAAACAAACTCTTTTTTTACCTATATAAAATTACAACTTAACTCGCTTACTACACTTTTCAACGTGATATTTTTGCATGCAACAAAAAGAGTGCATTTGAATAACGTTCGCACACTTCAGTCCGTCTCCATTTGAAATCGCGAAAATTCTTTATACATTTATCCACAGAATAATATTCTAGTATATTATATTTCACGATTTTTATTTTAATTCTTTCGTAAAGCACTCTCAAGTATCTTTTCGACAAGAAAATAATGTAATAAAGAAGAGAAAATTTTTTTATTGTGCTTTTTTTTGTGTCTCATTAAAAAAAAAATGATGTATTTAAAATAGATTTTATTAGAAGAAATTTTTTTCTTTGCATATTTACATTTCACGCAGGAATTTTATAATTCGAGGAAGTCAAATTTATTCTGCCATATTGATGCGAAGCCGATTTCGTAATTAGCATACGGATATCAGCACGATTATAATGACAATATAACTGTCGAATGTACATCGCGATCGATATCCGCAGTAATAATTAACCGTGTCTGGTTAAATACATTTGTCTTGATGAAACAATGATAACGGATTAGGAGCTTTGAGATGAAACTATTGAATTTAAATCACTCTGAGAGACGCTTCATAGCTGATCAACCTTTACACGAGTACCTTTACACGAGAAGGATAGCCAATTCTGTCGAATGCGAGCTCGATATTTAATGACTGACAATGCACCGTTAGCATCGAGAAAATTTACAGCCTAGGATGTTAATTCCGTGCTGTACGCGTTTAGCATTTTAATACCCAGCGTGGGAAACACATCAAATAGGTGCGTAAGTAAAACCGAATTCGGTATGCCGCGAAAGTTCTCATTTCCTATATGACGTATATAGCTTCATCTAATTTTCCCATTTATATATCTATATAGTTCTGTAAAAACTTAAAAAAATAAAATTAAATTTAACATTCATTTCGATTATGAATTTTAATTCTGGCTTTGCAGATTTTTCTTATTTTCAAGAAAGTTTTAAAATATATATATATATATATATACATACTCCATTACTGCTTTAGCTGATATCCAATATCGAAAGCTGCAATGTATCTCATCCTAATGGATGAGAGATAAACGAACATATATCTCGAATTTTCGCAATATAACTTTAACGATGTCAAAGTTTTCACGCGACACTCGCGGCATCGTATTGCGATCTCACCTCGTTAAAAGTTTATCGAGTGCCGTTCATTAAAGCGGCGAACTCAATTTTGCAAAATTCTGTCTCTCGTCGTCTATACCTATTTGCGCTGGCGCCGAGCCAGAGAGGCGTGTGGGCGTTTGCGACGCGTGGGCGAATATTCGAAATCACGAACTCCCTTGGTGCGCAAATATCAAACGCCCACACATTGTTCGCGGGGCCACGCATCGCGGGGGGGGGGAGTGCATGGGGCGATGACGCAAAAGAGGGATATAATGTATACATATGCAGCGGAGGGGAGGGAAAAAGAAAAGGGAGTGGCAGAGAGAAAGATGCACGGATAGACAGACAGACGGACACAATCGACAGCTTTTGCGGATGCGAACGATCGCTTTTTAATGCTCGTCTGATAAGTACAAAGGCGGACGTGGTGGTGGGGGATGAAAAGTTGGTACGTGACAGAGGTGCGAGAACACGCCGCCGAACGAACCGCACCATCCGATCCGATCGATACCAAATATTTACATGTGCAACGGAATTGCATTATTATTCCGATTACAGTGTCTCGCTGTGACATTTGCCGATGCCTTTTAATTAACGAGAAACATCTTTCGCGCGATAACGAGAAGGCTAGCGAGCGAGTAATGATATATATTTTTCGGCGAACGTGCGAGACTGCAATCAGATTGACGACGTAATCATGCGAAGTTTGTTTCTGGATAATTAAGGCGCAAATGTCGTTGAAATTCACGGTACAGAGTATCTCTCTTTATAATCCTATCTGAAATCTAAACGTACGCGATTAAATTACATGACATACTTCGTAACCCTATCTGAAACGTACGCGATTAAATTACACGCATACGCGCACATGCGTCGCCCTGTGTAAATATGTATATATAATATAATGCACTTATAGATATAGATTTTTGTTATAAATTAAGTTAAATAATATTTTTCGGTACGTATATCGCGATATCGCGATATCGCGGTTCATCTTCCCGATCGAGCTTGACATTCAACAATTTTTACATCGAACATACATTTTTTTAGAACAAAATATACATAACGAGTCGCTTAATGATTCACGAACGAGCCATTGAAATTAATGAGCACCTTTTTGTCATCATCGTAACGCACTGTCAAGTCGTTTTCGCTCGAGATTCAAGTAAGTTTGAAGCAAAGTACTTGTCACGATAATGAAGAGAAAGAGGTAGAATTTATACGGAAAGCTGCACAGTCGGGCGCATTTCTCTCGATTCTTCTCAGGATCAATCGGGATAACTCGATATTCATGAGCTTTGAAGAATGCATTGAAATTCCCATTAGACTTTACCGGAAATTATTATGTAAATCTATGATAAGGGAGACCACATACAATCGACGTCAAAACTTTAAATCACAATAATAGTTGGAATTAGATTATCGCAAATATTGACAGACAATGAATCTTTCCGTAAACAATTGATAAACGGTATATATACGTTGCGCATATTGATTATTCGTTTTATTCGATTAATCTAATATAATTACATAAAAAATTTTATATAATCTGAGGAAGTTGAATGGAAATAGTCAATCTTTCTTTTATTCAACGATTTTAAGATATTCTGTTTATCCTGCGCTTGGCTATGTGCATATTTCGATTTACGAATGTACAGACGGAATTTTTAATTCCGTTTTATATACGAGTTGATTCGTGTAAAGTTGCTTCGCAGGTTTTCTGTATCTAGAAAATATTTAGAGAGTTGACGAACAATTTTATATTTTGTCATAAAAGTTGGAAAAATCATGAAAAAATATGGATTTTTATAGGTATATATTCATTTGACAATGTTGAAATTCTCATTTTAAATATTTGTCAGCGATATCACAACAGAAAATTTGTTATATCGTGTAATAATATTTACATAGATGAACTGATTCAAAAATTTATTCTACCTTATTTTTCTTTATATGAATACATATTTTAAAAAAATATGTATATTCTGAATCACAATAGCTTTATGATTAATCTTTTTAAACGATATGAGATATGAGAAAACTATAAAATATTTAATTGCAAATTTTTTTACAAGAATTGAATAGTTATATCTCAATTCTAGTCGAATTGCTTAGAAATGATTTATTTGTTAAATTTAAAATAATATATCGTATTTTAATTCACATTAAAATACAACAGTCAAGTTGCTGATCATTTAAAAAAATTGATTCAATTAATAATTGATGGAGATTCAATTAACAAATAATTCAAATATTTTTTTATTATTAAATTAATATAGATCAGGTGTTGAGCAAACTGAATACGTTAAAAAAAGAACAATCAAAGAACACATGTTTGATTGAAGAAAAAGCTTAAAGAATTAATGCTGTTGGAAACAAGGAAGGGTATCTAAAAGAATAATTTAAAAATATAATTAATTATGTTAAAAATGTAATTCCACATTCCATAAATCTGGAACTAACGATTTTAAATCGAAATTCTAAATAAAGAAGTTTAAATTGATCGAAAATTTCGACTCTTTGTTATAAAGTCCAAGATGCTTGTCACTGGTTTTACAATCTCTCCGATATCGCTTTTCATCAATACCGCTTTTCTGTCCCTTTATCGTGTTGTTGTAACACAACGGGATTTGCCCGGGAAAATCGCTACGTCGCGGTATCACTCGCGAAAATCGAATCAGTGGCTCCACATGTCGTCCGAGTTTGCAACACGCGCACAGATCTCTCTCTCTCTC